TGTAACTATGAGGCAGTTCATTTTACTCCCAGCTCTTGGATCATTCTTTTTTTTGGGGGGGAACACCCTGCGACCCTGCATACAACAAAATATTTTTAGTGAAGCTGAAATCTGGACACTCAAAACCGCCACAATCAGCCGTCTGGAAGCATTTGAAATGTGACTACATAGACGAATGCAAAGAACACCATGGGTGACTATGCAAGGAAATGAAGCAGTCTTAAACAGGGCAAATGCAGTTCGTGAACTTTTGACAACAGTTACATGCCGAAAGCTGTCATACCTCGGCCATGTTCTTAGAGGAAATCGTTACCGGATTCTCCAACTTTTAATGAAGGACAAAATAGAGGGCCGCAGGGGTGTAGCAAGAAAATAAATCTTCTGGTTGAAGAATATTCGGGAATGGACATGCATACATAGCGCTGAACAATTGTTTAGAGTGGCTGAAAACAGGGATCAGTTCACCATCCTGATTGTCAACGTCAGGGGGGTTTGACAAGGCACAGTAAGAAGAAGAAGAAATTTAAAATATTAAGTCATACTATAGTTATTGTAGAATTATGCGTATTGTAAACGGTCTCATATATTTTAATTTTTATTAATATTCGTTTTTTAAAGTTTGCAAATGCTTTTAGAAATAATTTATCATATTATCATACAATATAATTTGAAATTTTAATGACACATTAAGACCATTTTTATTACATAAATCGCTACATTAATCGTTAAAGAAAACAAAGTTTTGCTAAAAATAACACTAATTTTTCTAAATAGGTTCATCATTTATGCTATATGCTATTATGTTTTTAATTGATTTTAAACTTATACATTTTAATAACGTGCAAGAACATTACTATACGTTGGTTTTCAATGAATGAAACGTGTTATTTAAAAATAACAAAATAGCTGATGCTCTGGTATTACAAGTTATAAGTACCAGGGCACTCTGAAAAGTTTCCGACTTTTAGTTTTTACCGAAAAATAAATTATAGATTTATTTCGGTATGTCTAAGTTAGTCTAACGAGAGAATACCTGACAGTGAGAGATTTCTGTCATTTTTATTAACAGACAAATTGTATTTTCTGTCATTGTTTGGATAATATTCGTCTCACTAATATTCTTCCCCGACTTGTTGGACATACGGACAAAGAACTTTAAAGGTAAAAATAAAGATGAAAAAGTGTTAAGTAGATACACTTTTTGCCTTACAAATAACATCAGAAGTTGGATTATCCGCTTTTGAATAAAAAATAAAACTTTTAACATTTTTTAAGTAACTACACATTTTCGTTTTGCGATTAAATTTAATTTTTTATATAATTAGCATGAGTTAAAATCTGTCCAAAGATTCAGGGAAGATTTCGACAGATGACATTCAAAAATTACAAAAAATACAATTTACTTGTGAATTAAAATGAGACGGACAACTTTTAATGTAACGGATCGTTAAACAGATATTCATAAAGCGCACATAATCGTAACCAAAATAAAGAAAATACATTTGTAGAATGTGTGGGAGGGGGGGGGGGGTTAATCACCGCCACCTTACAAATTTATTGTGTCCAACTTTCCTGAGTTACAAGTTATAACTCATCATACAGTCTCAGGGCTTTGACAAGAGCCATATCTAAGGCGGTTCAAGAACAGTCCTACCAAAGTTCATGGCACTAATGGTTGTCGTCTTGGCGCACTTAGGGATGAGGTTGTACTTTTTAGATGCTTTATTCTTCGCAGCGTGTCTCCAATTCGTGTGTGCTGGCTGGCGAGTTCTTCCTCTCGTCGGTGTCGTCTCCTTCCCCGACCCCGCCTTGCCGGCCGGCGCGTTGTCAGACTTCCTCAACAGAGGTGTTTTGGTGTTTCCCCATTTTCTCCACAGAATCATGCTCCAACGTCCCCACGAATCACAAATTGTTACGTTTACAAAAGTGGTTACCAAAGGGCAACCCTCTATAGAGCTTTACGATGGAAATTACAATGAGTAGACTACGTGTCGATGTTGTGAGATTTCGCTACCAATAACCAGTAAGACAAATTGAGAAATGTATGTCTGTGAATTACAAATTGTTACGTTTACAGAAGTAGTTACCAGAGGGCAACCCTCTATAGAGCTTTACGATGGAAATTACAGTGAGTAGACTACGTGTCGATGTTGTGAGATTTCGCTACCAATAACCAGTAAGACAAATTGAGAAATGTATGTCTGTAAATCACACATTGTTACGTTTACAGAAGTAGTTACCAGAGCGCAACCCTCTATAGCGCTTCACGATGTAAATTACAATGAGTAGACTACGTGTCGATGTTGTGAGATTTCGCTACCAATAACCAGTAAGACAAATTGAGAAATGTATGTCTGTGAATTACAAATTGTTACGTTTACAGAAGTAGTTACCAGAGGGCAACCCTCTATAGAGCTTTACGATGGAAATTACAATGAGTGTACTACGTGTCGATGTTGTGAGATTTCGCTACCAATAACCAGTAAGACAAATTGAGAAATGTATGTCTGTAAATCACAAATTGTTACGTTTACAGAAGTAGTTACCAGAGGGCAACCCTCTATAGCGCTTCACGATGTAAATTACAATGAGTAGACTACGTGTTGATGTTGGGAGATTTCGCTACCAATAACCAGTAAGACAAATTGACAAATGCATGTCTGTGAATTACAAATTGTTACCACAGATAACACATAATTATGTGTTATCTGTGTTGTTACGTTTACAGAAGTAGTTACCAGAGGGCAACCCTCTATAGAACTTTACGATGTAAATTACAAGGAGTAGACTACGTGTCGATGTTGTGGGATTTTGCTACCAATACGTACCAAAGACGTCTAAGTACCTAAGACGAATAATTGAGAAATATATGTCTGTAAATTCTAAACCAAATGTCATTCTACATAGAATAAATAATTTAATTTTTGTAGACCCTTTTACGTTTACAAAAACGTAAAATGTTTATATTTACGTTTTACTTGCGATTTATCCAGATTTTGCATGAATAAAAATATTTTCACATTTTTACTAATAGCTTAAACACATATCAAAGATCATGTTGAACGAGTCAAATTAAGATACAGTACAAAAATTATCACAAAACCAAAATAAATATCTAATTTAAACATTAGATGACATTGCAGCCTCTTTAATCATAATTATATCTTGTATTAGATAGTGCCATACTGAACAACTATTCAAATTTAATTAATATAGCTAGAAAGTTTATTTTGACCAGGGGCCTTTCTGTAGGGATGCCCATCCTTAGCCGAGAGAACCGGTTTTGAGGCGCCGGAATCTCGCCTTCGCCCTATTCCTGTTAGCTGCATAACACCCATCCATTGGATGCCATACATTACCAGTGGTCACGCGGCTCTCATGAGCCTTCGAGGACGTAGGAAATAGGACTTGCAGGCAGAGCTTATGAAACAGTGGACATTTCTCAGTTTTTGATGAAATATTCCTACTCGACATTGGAGTATCTCCTTGAGATCCGTTATCAGCCTTCGACCACCTTTCAGATCACTTTACATAATCCTAAGATATGATTAAATATATTTCGATAATTTCAGAGATATTAATAAATAGATAAAAAAATATATATTTTTAACCTTCCTTAAAAACTGTGGAAAATGCCATATAAAAATGAAATATAAAACCGCGAATATCTGCGATACCGTTAAGAATTTTGTAATATTCTAAATACAAAAAGTGTTCATTTTTTAATTCTCCATCTATTGAAAAAATAATATACAATGTGTCCCTTTAAATAAAACGAAGGAAAATTATTTTACATTTTTAAAAGTTTGTCGTAGATTTTGAACATCCTGTTACCTGATTTACGATTGCTATATTAATAGCAAAGTAAGTACGGACTATTTAAAGTAAATACCTAATATAGTTTTGATTTCAGGACAGTTTCTTGTACCTATTATTAATAATTTTTTTAAGAATGGCTGAAAAATATATTTTTTTTATTTATTTATTAATATTTCTGAAACTATTGAAATATATTTACTCATATCTTAGGGTTTTGTAAAGTGATCCGAAAAGAAGCCGAAAATGCATAATATACAGGGTGTTCCATTTAAAAAAAGTCATCCTGATTCACTCACACTTTTTTGAGCCATCCTATAGAAGTTAAAATATTTTCCTGAAATACATCCTAGTACATACTTTAGGTTTGCTGTTACACAAAGTTTCTGTAGATGTTATTTTACAGAAATAGAGTTGTGCCGGAAGTAAATTATATAGAAATATACCTATACAAGAACGGGTTAATATAATATTTATAACAGTCACCCGTCAATCCACCCGCATCGTCTAACGTCACTTAACTTCGTTAATCTATTTGAGAACTCATTTGGGAACAAGTGTTTTGATGTATCGTTCAGTCTAAAAGGGGTCGTAGGTATGATAGTACATATTTTAAGATTCCATTAAAAAAACTTGTATTGTAAAAATATATATTTCAATCACCCTGTATAATGTGTATATCAATGAAACTATTTTTAAAATGAGTGCTGCTATTTCCGGTATATTTTACAGGAAAAATTGGAGGAAAAATCTCAAATACAAAACGCACCGAGCTTTTTTGGAACACTGGGTCACCCTATATTTTTAAGTAGTAAATTAAATTTCTTAATTGCCTCAGTGCGTGTAAAGAAATTTAAAATAAATTAATTGTTTACTTAAAATATTTGTATTGACTTTATCGATTATATAATTCACTTATAAAAACCCAATCAAATAATAATTATAAAATATTTATAAGTTGGTGACAAAAGTGCTTTTATTTTTTTGCCAGATTACACATCATGTATTTGGTGCCATATATTATAAAAAGAAGAAAAATACCACATTGTTCAAATTATTTTTTTGTTGTGTGTTAAATTAATTCATATTGAAAAACAATGATCGCCTGTCACGTTTTTCCCACAATTACAGGTAAAAATCTTCAAGTTCTAAAAAATCCAACCGCACCACAACAGTCCCTCCCCACTGAAATATCGCCAAAATCAAAATAAATAAATTACATGAACCTTTTCCTTGGGTCTGCATACATATCTTTGCCGTTTCTTAACAACTTATCGGGCTTCCTATCACTTCGGTCATTCTTTTTATTTACCGATTACTGATAATTAACAGAATTTCATTTTAAAAGTATATTATTATCATTTTAAATCTTACGAAGTGTAAGTACTTTGAAATTTTGCCACGATTTTTATCGGTTTTTATTTTACTTAGTTCGAATGTTTGGTGTAGTAACAATCGACTACAATTTAGCCTTTTTAAGTGAAATTATTGTTTCTGTGAGGAGAACTATCATTACTATTTTCGAAAGAACAATAATTACAGTTGTATATTAAATACTCGACGACATTCAAGTGAAAATGGATGGTTTTAACGATAAGAAAGAAGTTTATCAAGTTTGTGAAGGAAAACATATCAAAGAAACGACAAGTTCTCTTAAGGATGACGGGTTATCGATAGATTTGAACCGGTAAGTAAACGTTAAAAGTTAATTCAAGTAAATTATGTGTGTTTAATGTCTACAGTATGATCCCGGTTTGTCTTTACTGGAGGAAACACTTTTTTATTATAAACTTTTTGAGAAAAATGCATTATTCATAAAAGTTTTTGCTTGCTTTAAAATGGTTAATTCCATTTATACATTTCCAAATATCCATAGAGTTTAAGACGAAAATATTGGAATTTATTTCAAAATCCAAAAAAAAGTTACAAAAATCAAAAAGCGTTTGTATACAGGGTGAGTTAAATAACTGCAAATATTTTCAGGGCTGGTAGATTTCGATAAAAGAAACATATTTTCTCTGTACCGTTTTTCAAGTTCAAAATATATGAGTTATTTTACTTTGAAAATTAAAAAAAAAGGATTTTTTGCTTAAATTTTGAGAAGCACTGGATTTTTTATGGGTTTTCTTTCTTATCTACTACCTACTATATTACTATGTTGTCATATTATCAAGAAATTATGTTAACTTTAACTGTTTATGTTTCAACTATAAACTAAAAAAAATTACAAAAAATTGTTTAAAAAATTCCAAATTTTTAAATTTTTTGTTTGCCCAAAAACCCTCTTAATCGTGTTTCTGGGGTCGAAATACGTTACCCCTAAAAATATTTGCATTTATTTAAGACGCACCCTGTAGTAATATTATTTTGTTTTCATTCTTTGATAGCTTGTTATATGATTGATATTAATAATTTTTATTAATGTCATATTTTGTGCCGTTTTGTTAAAAAAGCACTAAATTTATTTATTTCAATGCTACGGAATAGTTGATCATAAATTTTATGATTCTTTAATGGCGCGCTCAGAGGACTCGTGTACTTGGCAAACATTTGTTTTTGGTATACAGGGTTTGGCAAAAGTTCGTCGGGCATCTATACAAATTTATTATAGGAGCTTTGACGCACAATCGCCGGACCCTGTATGTCAATAACAAAAATATTTGCCAAGTACATGAGTTACATACTTTTTTCATAACTTTATTCTATAATTATAATTTTTAAACTTGATAAACTTTTAATACTTATTATATTTCCTGAGGACTATGATATACAGGGTGGTCCGAACTGTATTCAGGAAACTTCGGCAGCATATTCTGCACATAAAAATAGGTAAAAATGTCGTATAAATGTATGTCCTAAAATGCTTAATTTCCGAGATATGGGGTGTAGAAATTTCATTTGTATTTCGATTTTTTGCTCGCTGGTATTATTATTATTATTACTTTAGTTTTGTATTCCAGGTGCCCGGTGGCGTAGAGGTACAGGCTCTCGTCTACCAATCTCAAGGTAGTGGGTTCGAATCCCACACCCGGCATTTCATCAGCCAACTATTTTTATTAAAATAAAAATAGTTTGGGTACCTAGGTCGACTCAGCCTTAAATGAGTATTTGGGATTCACAATCCTGAGGTAATAATAGGCGGTTGAAGCGTAGTGCTAGCCACATTACCTTCCTTGTATACCGAACGGCTCTAGTAAGCAAGCTGTACCTTGCTATTCCCAAGGCGTCAAACGCTATATACGGGAGCTATTATAATTATTATTATATTTCGATTTTTTCCAAATAATTTCTGAAGTAGCGTCAATATTTGGATGAAAATTGTTGTCTGGGAGTTTTTTGGTATGAGAAATTTAATTTTGTTGTCAATATGACTCCTATTTGCAGAGGGCGCCACCTACATGCGTTTTAACTTTTTTGAATGGTAATAACTTTTCGTCCGTACCTGTATAAAACTACTAAGTGAAAAAAATATACATTTCCGTGATTTTCTACATAAAAAATATCACTTGGTAAAAATCGCTACGAGCAACCGTTCTCAAGATACTTACAATGGAAATGGTCAATACATGTCATTATTGGCTAAAAATAAACTTGTTGAGTAGATAGTTATTTGACTGAACTGATAAATTATGGAACTTTTAATTTTTTTTAATTAATTATAAAGTTTTCATCGAACAAATGATGATAAAACAGTTTCTGTTAAATTTTTGGCCCAAAAACATTTCAAATTTATGATTTCAGTCTAATAACTATCTAGTCAACATGTTTAATTTATGTCATTGATGACAGGTATTGATAATTTCGATTCTAAATATCTCAAGAACCATTATTCGTAGCTATTTTTACCAAGATACCTTTTTTCCGTAAAAAAATCTCGCAAATGTATATTTTTTCACTTACTAGTTTTATACAGGTACTGACGAAAAGTTATTACTCTTCAAACCAGTAAAAATATATGTAGGTGGTGCCCTCTACAAGTAGGAGTCATATTGACATCAAAATCAAATTTCTCATGTCAAAAAGCTCCCAAATTTTCATCCAAATTTTAGAAACTATTGGAAAAAATCGAAATAAAATTGAAATTTCTACACCCTGTATCTCCGAAACTAAGCATCTTAGGACATACATTTATACGAACTCTTTTACTTATTTTTATGCGCAGAATATGCTGCCGAAGTTTGCGGAATACAGTTTGGACCACCCTGTGTATTCTTCTTTAGTCTTCCTTTTGAATCTGAAATTTTTATTATTTATTCTTTCTTTTAAATTATTATTTCAACATTATTTTACAATAGAAAAAAATAATTGAACGGAGACTTGATTTAATTTATTATAATAAACCCCTTTACCTATGGTACCTAACACAAAATTAAATTTTAACTAAGTATACAGGATTTTTCAGAAAATTAAAAAAAAAATAGAATAACTAATACCGTTGATTGAAATGAATTGGAGTTGGTTTGGTTTTATTTTAGAATTTAAAATTATTTTGGAATTACAGATTCAATCAACCTACTTTTACTTACTGCCATTACTCGCTGACGAGTATTTGACACGCATCAGAAGATGGTTACGCAAGGCGTTTTCTTTCATGAGCTTTTCTGTGACTGAAAAGCCTCATACGTGATGTTATCTCTCTTCCACACTCCGAACATTACAAAAAATCTCATTACCTTGCCTCTTTACTTTTTGGTTGTCGTTGTTAACTGAGTTTACAATTCTTCTCCATTGTGCGCAGTGATTCCTCCCACTGATTCTGCATGCTTATCCCTTTTAAGTTTTCATGGAAAATATCCTTGTACCTTTTGTGTTGTCCATCCGGTTTCCTCTTACCGTCTACAAGCTCACCGTAAAGAAAATATTTTGGTAGGCGGTTTTCTTGTATCCTGTATACGTGACCAGCCCATCTTAAGCGGGATTAATCAACCTAATACCACATACCTAAAATAACATACTATTAAATACATACCAAGTGGCCAACTAAGAATGGACGCCGGCTGTATCTCAGAAACTACTTATCGTATAACTTTGGGAAAAAAATTATAAGAGGTAAATCGACCAAGATAAATCGCTGGAAATTATTTTCAAGTTCGAAAAATGTCCGGTATGGGCGTTTCTCTGATAGCCAATCAGAAAACAGGTTTTTTCCTCAAAAATATGCAGGTGAACTGGTATTTTTAATATTACTATTGTAATCATCGAGAAATTTGTAATTTTTTTGATATAGAGTGTTTTGCTCTATCTCATAAAATAAAGTGGTGGGGGAAGGTTATACTAGCTTTTATTAAAATAAGGATAACTCTGGTTTAGGTCAACCGATTTAAACATGCTAGGGCTCGTTTAAAAGAGCTTTTCTTCCTTAATGATATCCTGTATAAATTTTGTTTCCATAATTTTTTTCGTGGTAGCTAGAGGGCGCTGTTTGACATCATAACAGATATTACGCTTTTGCATAAAAAATTTAAATAGGAGGCTATATTTCTCTTTGCACAGTTAAATAGAGCACAAAATTTCCAAAATATCAGAGGAAACGGTAACTTTCTATCTTCTCTCTAACCGGAAATATTAAGAGAAAAAATCATGTTAGGCTCCCGCTTAGGATTATATGGTCTAAAAATTAGAGTAGTAGGCTATGAAACAAAAAGAGGTAAATTGGTTACATCAAAATATCAAAAGATACGTTTTGAATTCATTTTAATACCATTTAATTGTTATTTATCCATGTTCGTTCTTGATTCGACCCCATAAATTAAAACCCAGGCATATTGAACCCGATGACCTAGCTGGCTATGGAAATATGCCGCTCCAGCGTCTCTATCTACTAAAGTAAGTCGTATCCAAGAAGCCCCACACATTCATAGCAGAAAAAGCGACCAAGCTGCACCAACTGCATTCATGCTGACGAAATTGCAACAAATGCAATTTCATCATGATGGATCCCCTAACAAAATTGGCAATTCATCTCTTAGAAATTATTATGGATCGTTCATTTCATTGAGATAATTAAAAAAGTCCAATTATTCGCCATCCTAGAATTCCTGTCTAAACATATACCGACCAACGGTCTTGGTGCTGAACTACTTGCATTCAAGGTAGATTTGGATCAGTAGTGCATATTGTTAAGATTCGAATCTCCGGATTTATATGAAAAGTGACTCAAACGACATAAACTTTATAATATAACAATAAACAACACAAACAACAGGTAAAACACGAAAACAAGTGAAATCAAGGACGAACTTGGATTAATAGCTAAATGACATTACATGGAATAAACCCCTAGTTTTCGGCCATACGAAATTTGTTATTGTTCAAAACAACATGGCGGCACAAAATTCCTAAAAATTTTAATAAAATTATTGATTGTCCGACTTTTGGACATTTTAATCTGAGACCTACGTATAATTAACCAAGAAATTCATAAAAATTATGTGGATGGACGATAATGTTACATAAACACGTTTAAAAATTTATGACGTATTTTTTTTAAAGAAAATGCCCGAAATTCGAATGCATGAAAACTGAACTTAAACGTTTTGATATTTTAACGTAACCAATTTACTTTTTTTTGTTTCCTAGCCTGCTACTGTAATTTTTAGACCATATAACCCTAAGCGGCAGCCTAACATGATTTGTTCTCTTAACATCTCCGGTTAGAGACAAGATAGAAAGTTGCGGTTTGCGCTG